CTGCTTTTAGCGACGCTTTTTTTCTGTTTTTTTTCCAATAAAACTTAATGTGTAAATTCGGCAAATATGAGTTAATGCACTAAGTGCACATGATAAGCTCATTCAGTTTAAGCTCGACACTTGTGCATTAGGCCCACAAAATGTCTTTAAAACGAAAGTGCTTCTCCGTCGAAGAAAAAATTCAAATTATTCTGCGCTTGGAAGCCGGTGAGCCTATGAAAAACCCTTGTTGTTAAATTAAATTTATTGCATTTTTTGTTTGATTACAAAATTAATTTTTTTTTATGTTAAAACATATTACGAACATGGCAACCATAAAATAAAAAAAAAAATAGTTTTTTCCACCTTTCCTTAGTGCGTCTTCCGGATATAACGACGTAAAATCGTCGGTCCCTTAAAAGTCGCTATATCCGGATTCTACTGTATAATGTAAATGACAAAGGCCTTTATTGGGGATTCTGTGGTACGCTGGCGTATTTATCCCCATTCATTACCATCGTGATAAAGATTAGGTAATTCAAATAAAACACCTTGTATATCTTGGAGATGAAGCCATAAGGCGCCGAAAGCATCCCAACACCTTAATTATTAAGTGTTAAGCACTGTATGCCCTTAGCGCACTTGTATGACTATGCCATCGGTTATCTCTGCGTTTGATAAACTCTGTGCAAAATGCAGTCGCGGGCGCAAATGATATACGGCCCGCAATTCACCATTCCCCAGCATCCGCTCACAAAAGCTCCATAAGAAATGGGAGCACTACCCACGAAATGCGCAATGGAAAAGCCAAAAGTCGGCGAATCGCTTCAGGAGCAATCATTGACGTTTCAAGAGGCGCCGCTAATGGCACACGAAAATAGCAAACAGGTAAGGAAAGGAACCCGAGTTTCGTGGGAAATGTCCCAACAGTCCCCGTTTCCAGGAGGAGCGGCCCCAGTGGAGCTGGTCCCTCAGCTGGGCTGCAATCGGATCGTCGCTCGGTGCGGCGGTTCCAGTGGGGTACTGCACAGGAGTGATGAATAGTCCGGCTGAAGTAGGTACTTTTCTAGTTTGTCAGCACCGCATAAGTTCATCTCCCGTTTTACCAGCTCATGCGATCCTGGTGCAACGAGACACTGATTGCCAGCTATGACCTGCACCTGAGCGATGTGTGGTTGGAAATACTGTGGTCAGCCGTAGTCTCCATATTTCTTGTGGGAGGCGCCATCGGATCTGTTGTGGGTGCCACCATGGCTAACCGGTTCGGACGTCGGGGCTGCTTCTACATCTGTGGCCTTCTTCTGGCGCTGGGAGCCATTAGCTTTTACGCATGTCGACCTTTGCATTCCGTGGAGCTGCTGCTGCTTGGTCGGATGATGGTTGGTCTGGCCGGCGGTCTACTAACATCATTTATGCCCATGTGGCACAGCGAAATTTCGGCCCTCTCCCAGCGCAGCACCTTGGCTCCACTTTGTCCGATGGGCTTGACCTTGGGAGTGGTGATTGCGCAGGTCTGCAGCCTCCGGTCGGTGCTGGGAGGTCCTGAGAACTGGCACTTCGGACTCGCATTTTACGGTCTTCTCGTGGTTGTGTGTTATGCGCCTTTCAGGTGGTATCCGGAGAGCCCCAAGTGGTTGTTTATCGTCCTAGGTTGCAAGGAGGATGCTCGTCGCCAGCTGCAGTTGCTGAGGGGATACACGGCTGACAGCGCCGCACTGAAGGCAGAGATGGAAGAGATGGAGCTTGAAACCGCTTCCGGCGTGAACCCCCGAGGATTGGGGCAGGTCCTGCGTGACCCCCAATTGCGACTTCCGCTGATCATCGTCTGCGCCTTTCTTGGTGGCCAACAACTGTCCGGCATTAATGCTGTACGTACGGACAACCTACGGACCGACTGAAAAGTGATTCACATCTCGTTCTCCCCCAGATATTTTACTACTCCGTATCCATTTTCCGCAAGGCGGGTCTTTCAAAACAGGCTTCTGAGTGGACCAACCTTGGCGCGGGTTCCCTCAATTTATTCGCCTCCATGCTGGGCCCCGTGCTGCTGGAACGAGTCAATCGCCGACCACTGATGCTTTTCTCCACATTTTTCTGCACAGTCTTTCTGCTCTTGTTTGCCCTAATGCTCTACTTCATTGTAAGTATTGTTAAAAACAAAGGGTCCTCGGGCGAAATATTATTTTCTAATATTTTAGGAGAGCTACAGCTGGTTTGGCATGGGCTGCATTGGCTGCATTTTCCTCTACATTTTCTTCTTCCAATTTGGTCTGGGCCCCATGCCGTTCTTCATCGGAGCAGGTGCGTTGCTCTGTTTGAAAATGTCAGCTTATCAAGCGGATTTTTTTACACCTGACAGAACTGTTTGAACTGGCTTCCCGCCCAGCCGCCATGTCGTTGGGAAGCTTGACGTACTGGCTGTGCAACTTTATCATCGGAATGGCGTTTCCCACGATGCAGAACCTCTGGGGTGCTTTGGTATTCCTGCCCTTCTCGGTAACCTGCCTTCTGATCTTTTGCCTGACGAAACGCTACTTGCCAGAGACGCGAGGACGTGATCCGTCAGAGGTGGCTCCTCTCGTCGCTTCGGGCTTTAAGTCAAAAGTGATGCTCCCGAAACAGGCGGCAATTTTAGGTTAAACCAATTTTCAGAAAGCCAACTCTACAACCAAATAACAATGAGACAACGAAGCCATTCCTTTGTAATTTTGTGAGTTTTATAAATTATGCTTCAATGATCCCATCTAAGTAACTGTAATCGAAATGCATTTTTATCGCGGGACCTTGGATCACTTCTTCTTTTTGCCAATTTCTATCGGTACTAGCTAAAAGTCTAAAAATTCGACTTTAGCTTTTATTATTGAAACAAATCTCATTACTGTAAGAGTATTTAAGCTTCGGCTACCATATACTAGATTCCTTTCTTGTTCTTATTTCATATACATTTTTTAATTCAAAAAAATACTTACTCGTAGAGTAAAAGTGTATACTAGATTCGTTGAAAAGTATGTAATAGGCAGAAATAGGAGTTTCCAACTATATAAAGTTTATATATTCTTGATCAGGATCAATAGCCGAGTCGATCTGGCCATGTCCATCTGTTTGTCCGTCTGTCCGTATGAACGCCTCGATCTCAAGAACTATAAAAGCTAGAAAAACTTAGATTAAGCATGCAGCTTCCAGAGACATAGACGCAGCGCAAGTTTGTTTCCAAACGTTCCCACGCCCACTCTAACGCCCACAGACCGCGCAAAACTGTCACGCCCACATTTTTAAAAATGTGATATTTTTTCATTTCTTTATATATTTTGTAAATTTTGTTTGCCAAAAACCTTTTTGCCACGCCCACGCCCACAAACCGCACAAAACTCTTACGCCCACACTTTTAAAAAATTGTTAGGTTTTTTTTTTCATTTAATTATTTTTTTCCCAATTTCTACCGATATTCCAGAAAATTTTGAAATTTCTCGATAGCACAAGTTGAGTAACAGGTATCTGATAGTCGGGAAACTTCTTCTATCTTGTTTTTATTTATTTTTATATTTTTTTCCCAATTTCAACCGATACGCCAGAAAAATATTGAAATTTCTCGTTCGACTACTGCGTTCTCTCTTGATTTTGATAAACAAATGCAGTTATGTACAAACAATCAAAAGCAATACCGAGCGGTATCGATGTAAGATCAAGGTCTTAAGAAAATCGGTCTTAACTTTTTCAGTCATTTTTTTCTGGGTGTATATTAGTAACAAAGCTTTAATACTCGCGGCAAACGATTATCATTTATGTATTATAACAGATAAAATTCGTGCATCTTTGGACGAAAGCAGTTTTTCAAAATGAAAAGTTTTATTAATGGGCTTATCTAGCAACGCATTTTTCAAGATTGCTGAACAATTTTATGATATATTCTCGGCACTTCATAAATCAGTCGGAAGTTCATAAAAAGGTTGAGCTAGTTACACATGTGTCTAATTAGATTCCTAAATGCCAATGAAATGGCCTTGTCGCAAACTTAAATACCATGTGCCTTCGCTTACTGCAAGGTCCAGGTGTTCTTGGGCTCCATGGTCACCGCGTCCCTAGAAATACGCACTTTCATATACCCGTACCTGCCCGTATGTTTGGGCGAGGGGCCATTTATGAATTTTCCGTGGGGCACTGCGGCTTGGTAGTATTTTGGCCAATGGGTGGGTGGGTGAAGAAGAAGGTGGTCGCGAGGACATGGCAGCGATGGGGCAATTCAAATGAATTTTTCGCTCGCTCCGCAACGATTTTAATTGAAAAAACATTTTCGTTTTGGTTTCGGTTTTGGTTTTTGTCGGGCCTGAAAATCGTGCCGCAGCCACTTGCTGGCCATAAGCCTCTTTTAGCAGGAGTCCCAGTCCCTCCTTATCCCCGCAGTTATTCGGCCAGTTGCCAGTTGCCTTCTGGCGCCTACTGGGAAGCAGTTCCTTGCGACGTACTGTGCGCACGCGTTCGTGCATAAATTCTACCAAGTGTCCATTTTTCTGATTTGTGTGCAAAGTTTTTTCCTTGTTGTTTGCCATCCGCAGCTCGGTGTTGACTGACTGCCCAGGACGAGGACAAGGATAAGCATGCAGACGGGAATGGTCTTGGTGGGTCGAGAGGGTTGTTCGGACAGTTGGTAAGCCGGAGCTGGTGTCTTGTTGCCTTAACTGCACTGAAAGGAAAAACGGGCATAGGGTTAAAAGATCTATTTTACTCCGTAACCAACCAATTTGAATTACCTTTGTTTTGGGAAACACACGTTTGAACAAGATCAACCCGATATGCTAAAATTAGTTTTCAATACGATTATAAAAACATGTTATGCTAAATAGTAATTAATGAGAGTATACTGGTAAATTAAACAGCGGCAATTGTATTTTAGTGTAAGCTTTTTAAGCCAATTGTTTAATTAGAATGCGACTTCGAGTGTAGTCCTCCACTGGCTCTACTCCTTCCATCTGCCCGCTGCGCTGTTCGCATGCAAATGCGGGCAGAAATAGAAAATGAATTCATTCAAAGACATAGTAAGGATTTTCTATTAAATTTCGTCGGTTAGCGAAAGAAATGCGTACAAACAAGAAATTAAAATACAAGGGCGCAGCGAAACGTTTTGGGAATTTTTAATTAAAATGGCATACGCTGCGCCCAATATGCATTTAGACAATGCTGGCCAGATAGATCAGCTTTACGTTTCGCACTTCCTTGTGGCTTCAAGCCGATCCCGGAATCCGATTAGCGAGCTATGCTGCTTTTAAGTCTGCCTCAGCATCTGAATCCACCCTTGGCTTAAATTCCATTTGATGGGCATTTGGCTCGCTCTCCGGGTCTTTCGTCTTCAGATAGTCTTCGGCATCCCAAGACTGCAGATCCGTTGTGCCCCAAATCAGGTACACCAGGTTGCCAATGAAAAACACAACAGCGGTCATGGCAAACACAATCTGCCACTGGTTTCGTGAGTCCTAAGAAACAAATGCGCAAATGAGTAATTGTTTACTTAACTTATGGCATAAACATAAACTTATGACACAAACCTTCTCAACGCAACCCATCCTAATGGTACTTAAATTGTTTGTTCATACTTAATTCAGAAATTACATTAAAGGGACTTTTCCGGCATGACAAGCAAGAACTTTTTACCAAATAAACAAAAATGTTATATTTCAATTTTAATATTATATATTATTTTAAATTTATATATCCGTTATTTTTAGTAAAAGCGCATTCTAAGTTCGTTTAAACTATTCAACAGGTAGAATGAATCGTTTCCCCTATAAGGTATATATATTCCTGATCAGGAGCACTAGCCAAGTCGATAAACTTCTATATCTCATAGGTATCCTATACAAGCTTTACTTTTCAGATTAAACATGGAAATATGCTAGGGGCGCTAACGCCTAATCTACAACTGTCGCACACTTTCTACAAATGCTTTGAGCTCTTATACCCGTTACTCGTAGAGGTATACAATATTCGTTGAACAATATGTAACAGTCTGTCCGTCCGTCCATCTGTCCGTATAAACGCATCGATCTCAGAAGCGATAAAAGCTAGAATGTTGAGACTGAGACATGCAGCATCGACGCAGCGCAAGTGTGTTTCCAAATGTTGCCACGTCCACTCTAACGCTTTTGAAAAATGTTGTGATATTTTCTAATTTATTTTCTGAGTAACGGGTATCTGATAGTCGGGGAACTCGACTATAGCATTCTGTCTTGTTTAATTATAGGATAAGGATTCTGTTCGTGAGATTGCCATTGGTAAGGCGATTTCTGGATGTTGCCTGTAGCATTCAACCTTTCAGACTTGTTGAAGAGAACCGTTTTCAAAAACTTATTAAACTTCTGGATCCTCGCTTTGTGACACGGTGAAAATGTGCAAAAATTTTTATAAAAAATGTTGTGTGTGTACAATCTTAGTTATCCCCTACTCTGAGCCAAGTTGATTATCTTGGAATTTCTACCGATCTATGAGCTTCAAGAGCAACCCCGGTCATTAACCACAGTCATTTGTCACTTTATAGATGTGAGCTACAATCTGCGCTGAATTGTGCGTTCAAAAATCATTTTACTTGACGAAACATGTAAGTATAAAATATTTTATGATTTGTAAGATCGGACCACCGAGGCAGATTTTCATTTATTCGTGTATACATAAGATATATACAACCTTGTTGAACTATTTTGCAAGTTTAATAGCATAAACAGAATTCTAGGAAATCATAAACATCCGCCCGACTACAATTGATTCGAGTGCTGAGCGCAGCACTGAGAGAAACAATTCCAGTAAATTAGTGCACCAAGGGAATGTCAATTTAGCCGCTTTGACCCACAGCGAGCTTAAATATCAGCTAGGGTAAACACTCTTTGGGCTAATAACTCCAATTTCAAAGGATTAACTTACACAGTAGTCTTTTTTGGTATATTATGTGGGAGAACAAAAACAGCCGAAAAAGGCAAATTTACTTCTTAGGTTAAATAGCCATTCAATATATCGTCAAATATATCAAAAACAAGCACTCGAAAGATAAAAAGTTACATTTGCATTTAGTTTTAAAAATTTACTAAATAATGATTCCAACAAAGTGGAATAAATCAGGGATTTTTGTTGTGACCGTATTAGTCATATGAGCATGATGATATATTATTATGCCCATTACAGACGACACACGGACATGGCCAGTTCGACTTGGTTATTAATCCTGATCATTAATATATGTAGTTTATATGGTCGGAAACGCTTCCTTCTGCCTGTTACATACATACGAATCCAGTATACCCTTTTACTCTACGAGTAGCGGGTATAATCCTGGGATCTGGTTGTAACAGCAAGGGAAAAAATTATCGACTTGGAATTATCATTTTTCTTCATATGTTTTACTGCCCAGTACTTTAAAAAAATTTAAACTTCCTAACATAAATTACAGATAAATAAATTACAGCAAAAATACACCTATGAAAAATATTCCTATACTTGCAAAAATACTACGTGCTTATACTCAAAACATTTAGTACCTTTCAATATTTAAAAGAAATGAAAGCAGCTTAAAGCCTTTTTCCATTACAGCCCTTACTCACCGGTTCAGTGACAATGACGCCCACTAAAAGCGGCGTTAGAAGCGGAAAGATGTTGCCGATGCCGTTCACAATTGCCATGAGCATTCCTGAATGGTTTGGGGACATGTCGATAATAGTCAGGATGCTGCCAATACCAGAGCCGGCATTTAAGCCTGCGTTGATTGTCATCAGGGTGATGGCCAGAGTGGTCTGGCTCTTATCCAGAAAGCCAATCCCAATAAGGGCCGCCGCAGGCCCCCAGTAGGAAACGGTATTAATTGACTTGCGCAGCGTGGTCAGGGACATCCAGTGCCTCGACATGGCCACATCTGCGAAAGCCAGATATACATAGGACATACCCCACATGGCCAGAAAGGGCAGGGCCGAGTAGAGAGCGTTGCTTTTGATGTCCATCTCTAAGACCCCGTGCATGTAGGAGGGCGTCTGCAGTTGCATGGTGGAGTTGGCCCAGCCCTGAGCGCTCCGTACTATTAATAGTGCGTAGAAGGGACTGGATGACCAGATGGCGCGCCACGGGACTGGAATTTTCTGAGCGTGAAAGCCTTCAGGCCGCTTCATAGAGCGCTCGATGTGCTCCCGTTCCCGGGAACCGATCAGCCGGGAACTGGGCGCGTTGTTAGCGCCGAGTATTACCCACAGTAAGCACCACAGCCCGCAAGTGCCCGCCGACACGTAGAAGATTCCAGGCCAGCCCATTGAGCCATTCGCAATCAAACCGCTGCTAGCCATGGCCAGCACAGATCCGCAGTCGGCTCCGGAGTACGCAAAGGCGCCCAGCCGGTTTCGATCCTCTGGGGGAGACCACTTGGCCAGGTGCTCATGTATGCACGGAAAGATCAGACCTTGGAAAAGACCCTCCACAATTCGGATGGTGCAAAAGGCCTGCCAGCCACCCCAGGCCACGCAATACGGAGTGAGACCGCTCAGGACGGCCGTAGCCAGCGTGGGAACAAACAGCACCGACTTGGCCCCGAAGCGGCGAACGAGAAAACCGGCTGGAAATTGAGTGACAATGTATCCCCAGTAGAAGCTGGACAGGATGTATGATTGCTCCACACCACTCCAGTTGTACTCCTTCAGACGGGATTTATGTGATAACAGATACAATCAGGCTTTCATCTATAGTACTCACCGGAAAGTCCAAGTTGGTGGTGGCCGCATCCGTCATAGCAACTATTGCCACGCTCACACTGAGCCGGGCTGTGTAGTTAACGACGATCGCCAGGAATAAAAGGAGGGCCTGCATGTGACGGACACCGATAACGGGTCCTAGAGTATAGAGGAAGTTCAAATTATTAACTTTCTGGCTAAAACAATGCCAACCATTTACACTCTCTACCGGTATAGTATGTCAAATTAAAACAACGTAGAACGCTATAGTCGAGTTCCTCGAATATTAGATACCCGTTACTTAGCTAGTGGAAGTGCGAACGAGAAAGTTCAAGCTTTTGGCTTATACATAGAAATTGGCATAAAAAATAATAAAATCAAAAAAAACAACATAGAATGGTATAGTCGAGTTCCGCGACTATCAGATACCCGTTAGTCAGCTAGTGGAAGTGTGAACGAGAAATTTCATAGTTTTCTGGAATATCGGTAAAAAGTGCAAAAAAAAAATTTAAGAATAAAAATTTTAATTTAATCAAAAGTGTGGGCGTTAAAGTTCTGGGGGTTTGTGGGCGTGGCAAAAAGATGTTTGGCAAACTTATAAAAATTTACGATATATGTATATAAAAAAATGAAAAAGTTTTGGGCGGTTTGTGGGCGTTGGATTGGTCGTGACAAAAAGTTGTTGGCTAACTTTTAGAAGTGTACAAGATACATACATGTATAAAAAAATGAAAAACTATCACATTCTTTAGACATTCATACTTTATATACAAGTATTAAGTATATAGGTACATACTTTTCAACAAATCTAGTATACCCTTTACTCTACGAGTAACGGGTATAACAAGAGGGTACCCTATAGTCGAATTCCCCGACTATCAGATACCCGTTACTCAGTTTGAGGAAGTGCGTAGAAAATATAAACAAAATCATAACAAGAAAACAAAAACTTAAAAAAAAAAACTTTTTTTTAGCATTTTATGCTGGCCTTAAAAAAATAAAAGTCGAGCGATAAAATAGTCGAGCGCGTTGCGTAAAAATCAAAGTGCCTAAACAATAAAAACGTTAGCTATTGATAATTTGGTTTTAATATCATTCTACTACCAGTCATTCATTTCCAGTTAGCGAAACGCCAAAATTTTACGAACCCTTTTTAATAAATAAAGCTTACGCAGCCAAGGACGTCAGAGACTACATCGGCAACTGTCCCAGACTCCCCTTGGCAGAGTAAAGGTTATCTGATAGTTAAGGAACTAAAGCGTCTTCTCTTGTTAATAGTTATCTAGATATATCGTAAGAACCGAATTACCTATTTTGTCTGCTATAGACGGAATTGGGTAAAAATATAAAAATATGATGACTATGAAAATACGTTCTCGTCTTTCAAAGAACAGTTGTTAACATAGTAATGGGTATTTGATATCAAGTGCATATTCTTGTTAATACTTATTAACTATACTATTAAACGCATAAGGCAAAATGCATTTTCTCGATAAGCACATTAAAATGTTATCTAATCCGATACTGCCCACATCTTTAAGATATTCGAATGCAACGTTTTTTAAAGACCATATACACATGTACATATTAGCTTGATATGAGGTATTATTATGTTGAATTTAATTTAAATTGTGTGGTAAATACAGCCTATACCTGTTAAACTGGAATCCATGTATACACAGAAATCAAACATTTTGAACTTGCCCACGATTCACTTGGCCAAATTTTTTCGCCCACTTACTAATAACTAGGCAACGACTTGTATTCCTTGTAAATTTATATTTATGTTGGATCGTCCCAACTATTTGTTTATTCTTTAATTTACCTTTTTGCTCGTCTCTCATTTTGTTGACGCCCTACAATACTTTATTACCGTTTTTACAAAATAGTTAGGCCGTCAGCAAAAAACTCACTGCCGACCGTGTCGATTGCTGAAATGCGTCTGAGCGTGTCATTAAAGCTTTACCCACCATATAGCGTATATGACTGCAATTAGACATCAAGATTGGGTCTTTGGTTAGTAAGTTTTATCAAAGTACCGATTACCCAAAGCGATAGCTGGATGCTACCTGTCGCATTCCAAACTTGATATTGTCGACGTACTACTTCTATGTACAAGCAAACAGTGTTAACCGTGCAGTTTATATTAATATAAACACAGACACTAACACGCGTTCCATTTTCCCCAATCATATATGTATGTAAGCGGTGGAACTTATTGTGTAAAAACTCACAATCAAATCTAAAAATCCGTTCCCTGCCCATAAATGTGCTAGGCCAGTTCGTCTGCGTTCAGGAAGAGAAAGCGGCTTATGCGCATTTAGGCGAAATTCAAGTGATACCCAGTTATTCTAGAATATATCTTATTTATCTGTGAGATAAATCGGCTACAAGCATCTTCATTGGAGAAGTGAAGCCTACCAGCTATTCACATATGTAATGAATTGGTGGTTATACTAGTGATAGTAATCCAAAACAAGATAGAATTCTATAGTCGAGTTCCCCGACTATCAGATACCCGTTATTTAGCTAGTGGAAGTGCCAAGTGAATAAAGTTTTTGGCAAATATGTATAACTTTACAAGAAACAAACTTGCACTGCAAGCTTAATATGATTATTCTAGCTTTTATAGTTTCTGATATCGAAGACGGTCAGACGGACATGGCCAGATTGTCTCGGCTATTGATCCCGATCCAGAATAAATATACCTTATATGGTCGGATACGTTTCCTTTTGCCTATTACATACTTTTCAACGAGTCTATTATACCCTTTTATTCAATGAGTAACGGGTATAAATATCAAGTTCCCCTTAACCCTCTCATATGTTACAGAAATGACTATTAAAAATATAATCTCTAATATATATATAATCTAATATTATAATATAATCTATGAAAATCTAAGCCTACAAATCATAGCGCACAGGTATAATTAAATCCAGCAATTTGATTCAATTAAATAAATTTCTAGTCATGTGAAAATTATTTTCTACAATTATTACATATAATTACATAATTTTAATTTTCCTTGGGGGTTGATGAGCTGCAGATAGGCTGTTAAGTCCAGCATACGCGATTCCCTTGTACATAAGTACAACTAAAACAATAAAGATACAATGAATTAATGTTCCAAACCTATGAGCTAGAATAGATTGTTTTCGATCACTTTCCGCTCTGTTTGAAATCTGCAGCTGCAAGTACATAAGTTTGTTTGCTAATGACGTTTTTGTGGTCTGAGATAATGGCCACCAAAACATTCGATATTTCGTCACTAATTCTTTGTTTTCATTTGTTATTATAAGCTGTTGTTTACATTTATACATTAGTGAAAGCAGGTGTTCAGTGGTATTAGACGTCGATAGTTATCGAGTTAAATGTTGTGAGCTGTGTGGCACTGGAGATTCTTATCCTGATACTTATCCAAATAAAAAAATTTCGTAACCTTGTGTACTTTTTGTTAATGTCTAGGAAAACTATAAAAAACAAAAAGATCTTCCGTTAATTTTTGCATTTGATCTCCAAAATGTCATGCAGTCACTTAACTTTTGTATTTGCCCGCCCTTTCATGCATATCGATAATATAAATACATTTTATATCGATAATCAACATAAAAAGATCGTTTTTTCTTAAAAAAAATTCCAGTGCAGTCGGATAGCTAAATACCGTGAATTTTACATCAATTGTTAGGGAATTTCATTAACCATTAACTAAAGTCTTGTCATACAATCCCTTTGGTCTTGTTAACAGCGGAAAGCAGATTTTTTCCTTGTGTTTATATAGTGGTGCGCTTCGTCACTACGTGGTCTGCATCATGCAGTGATACGAGCCTACAGCAACTATTAATTAAAAACATCTTTCTTTTGCAGTGCGCAATGTTCAGCACAGGAAATTTTTAATACAACTACAGGGTATAAATATCATATATTTTTTCTGAAGGATAATTGATTTCTCTTTACGATGCACTATGGTAAGTTTGATCACTTTTTCTAGCCAAAATTAATAACTCGAGAACGGAGAGATATTTAGTTTGTGTATTGGGTCACACTAGCCCATATTTATTACGATACCATTATGATACGGCTATTATGTGGACGTGGCACTGCACTTATATTTTTTGCAGTGTATGACTCCAGAAGGGAGAGAAATTTCTACGTGAATCCCAAGAACTGTTCGCGTGGCACAGCCCTTATTTATTTTTCTAATTTTGTATGCTTTTTCTAATCTAGTAAGAAGTTACTAGTATTCTAGTAAGAATTATTCTAGTGTCTTTTGCCTAACCGATGAAGTTCAAGTCGATGTTAGAGTCGGCGATACGAGAAAACACGTCATCCGTACAACGGTAGAATGACAGTAAAGTTTCCTGCAAGCACTATGGTATAGGGATGTTATTATATACTTGTCTGCCAAAGGAGTGTGAATACTGCTTGTGGTGAAGTTACTTTTCAGCAGAACTGAGCACCATCGCACCCAGCAAAACGAACTCAAAAAAATGACTGCAATATAAACAAATGGAGGATTTGAATTGTCCATCAAATATCCCAGATCCACAAGGATCAACAAAGGAACATTTCTGACATTGTTGTTGTTGTTCGAAATACAACAAAACTTTGTCATCGAATAGATAATAAAACAACAGGGAACGCTTTAGTCGTGTTCCTCGACTATATACCGTTACTCAACTAGGAGAGATAAATAATAAAATGAAACAATTTCAACACATTTCAAATTTCAAAACTGTGGGTGTGGCAGTTTTCGGCGGTTCGTGGGCGGTAGAGTTGGCGTGGCAACATCAGTTACCAAACCCGCGCTGCGTCTGTGTATCTCGACGTTCATATGGCTAGATCGATTGATCCTTATGAAGAATATATACACTTTATATGGTTGGGAACGCTACCTTCCACTTGTTGCATACTTTTGAACATATCTTCTATACCCTTTAATCACGTGAAAGTCAGTCGGACTTAAGGGGGACGGTTTGAAATTGTTTATATTTTCAGTCACATGGCAAGTTTTCTTGAGATTGTAAATTTTTTGCATAAATGTAGACGTACATATTAACTGTTTCATTTAAAATTATTATAGAATTTTATTTTTTAGTCAAAAGGCTAAACTTTATTTTAAAGACGAGAAGACCCTATAAATCTTTATATTTTATTTTTTTTAATTATAAAGATTATGTATGTAGCATATGTACATATGTACCTATGTATGTTTTCCCTTCGGACCCCGACAGCGAGAACATTATCCTTATCCTGTTTCTGGCCGAGATACCAGCAACGATCCATCCTCTTCACACATTCTGGGAAGTGTCCGATTTGGATAAGTAAATAGCAACTCTGCTTTTGCCATCGTCACTCTGCCGCATCTGCTGCAGACCATAAAGAGATGTGTTCGTAATCTACGTTCCCTTTCCCAAAAGTTCGACACAAACTGTGAACTCCGCCCAACAGACTTGTCCAACATGGGCGTTTTTTCTGGACGTTTTAAACTAATATCGTAAATGTTTAGCCTGATCATCACACATTCCACACTTCATTTCCTGCACCCTGTTGGTGACGCCTCGGGTTTCGCGACTGGGGCCATGCTAGGAGATCGTGCAGACTAAGAGCAGCACTGGGAAAAATACGTACCCTATTTATCAGAACTGATCATAAGCCGCTTGTGTATGCATCTCCTCGATAAGTTCGACACCTAATTGATATTTCACTGTTCTAGACAATTTTTCTGCTATTATACGGGTCGAAGGACATAGGAGAAGAATCCAATTGTAATCATAGTGTCGCGAATTGAAGGCGAATAAGCATCGGATCCTGATCTCTCACGCCTTTTGCAGGGACCTATATACTTAAAACTCAAAAAAGTCATCTTGACTACAGCATCTTACTTTGCTGCGATGTATTTACAGAAAGCGTTCGCCCTTATGTACCAAACTCCTTGTTCTTCAACGTTTTTACGTTTATTCACAGTTTTTTACACCCGAGCACGACAGAAGTTCGATAAATAAAGACGACGTCGAATGGTACAAAAAACCATTTCACTCCAAAAAAGATAGGTGCTCCAAATGTTTGAGGATTTGGGTTTCTCGGCTTGGAACCCCAAACCGATTACTACAAAATCTGGTACTCACATCGAGTCTACAGTTTTCAATCTCGTTGGTAGCACATGCACACTGTTGTCTGCCATCCGCACTTAAACGGACTCATAGAATCAGATCCTTACATTTTATATTCATACGTTACAAAGGAACACAGTACTCACCAACGGTAATGCTTGGACTTCGCACTTTGAAGAAGAACAACAAAGCTTCCTCATGGAATTGCAAAGTTGCAAGTAGCTAGTTGTATCCCCGTTTTTTTAAGCACCGATGTTGTCAAGCCGCTTCAGAAATCCTTTTTTCCGTATCTGCTGACCGCCTAAACCGGCTTGCAAAAGATGATAAACTTTTGCAGTCAAAAGAAATTATCTCATTTCCCTAAGACGTACGTCGACATGAACAATTTGTAAATCAAGTTTCATGAAATCCCCTGGAGGACAAGTCTTTTGCAGTCACTATTATCTGGTAGCGTCATCCAGCTATAAGACGATGAGGCAACGAAGGGAGCCGACTGCGTTGAATTAAATTAATGGCAATACAATAAAAACTTTTAATAAATAACTAGAAAAAATCGTTTAAAAGTATGCAACAGGATGCGTTTCCGACCTAAGTACATAAATATTTTTGATCAGGCGCGTTTTTTTTAGTAGTTTTTCACGGCTTCAAAACGGAAAAAAACCGTCACACACTTTTGAACAATGCATTGATTTTTCCATATTTTTATTTAAAACTTTTTAATTGTACATTAGCGATAACTATTACTATAACTATTAACCAAAAATGTTTAGGGATGCAATGTGAATATGTTTATGTCACTATGTTTCCACAAGAAGACAGCTATTTCTGTATTATCGTGTTAAACTTGCTGATCGCCTCGCCGACATATCTTTCCTTTTCGGCCAGCGCACATTTTAGCTGCGTACGCAGTTGCTGCAAATTGGGCATGGTACGACAATCTCTAATGTTAAGCAGAGTCCGGAAGATGTTTTCCCACATTTCCCGCTGAAAGTACCGTGGCACGTTTGTTTTCGGCATCCAAATGGTGCTCGGAGCTCGTTGCACTACTTCCATATAGCGGCCGAATAGCAGCACATGCATAACGCTTACCAGACCAAATAAATCTAGTTGGTAAGTCCATGGGCGATTCGTTCTCATCTCAATGCACTTGAAGAGGTCATCATGATGAACATAATTGAATGTCTGATTGTCCGGAAACAGCTTCATGTCAATGGACACACCGAAATCAATAAGCTGCAGGCTGAGTTCGTTGGGATCCGCACATATCCTGGAACAGAAAAAACGGTGGTATTAGAGGTGTTGATGAAGAGGCTTTTTGGTTATTCGCTATTACGGTTTCATAAGTAGAAAGTTATCCGGCTTGATGTCGGCATGAATTATGCCCATGGCGTGCAGATGATCCACAATATCGAGCATTTGGCAACTGAGGTGCATTACCACATACTCGTCTAGATTCCTCTTGGTGACACTCTTAACCTTGTTGCACACAGCGATCAGTGAACCATAGTCTGAAAACTCCGAGATATATACACTGGAATTGTTTCCTACCAGTGCATAGTCAATATGTGCATATGATGGAATCTGTTAAAGAATTTTCACATAATTAATTCATGATAAGTGTCATGTGAATAGTAATTAGTACCAAGTATTAATAAATATCCCTCTTTATGATTTGAATAGCATCCAATTCCAATGTTTTTTCGCTAAACCATATATTTTCATAACATCCGTTTCCTAATTTTAAGGTAATTTACAATATCTCTAAGATACGTAAGCCAAATTTAAATTACTTTTTAAATTTACCTTGATTAGGCTCAAATGACACAAATTGGAATAATTTTAAATTTTACCCGCTTTTGGAAAATGTTTTCTTCAATGAATATTCTTTGGAAATGGAAAGCCTTCAAAAAATATATGTTTCGGTTTTTTTTTATATTAAAAGATTTCTGCAAATTTGGTCTCATTGCTGGACCTCGAACGTCCCCGGCTTGGATAAACTAAGAACCAAATTGATCTAAAAAATCGGATTTACTACATTAAATTTGTTATTATTTAATGCTTACCATTTGCTCACTAGTTAAACGGCTGTGAATCTCTAGGCAAATGTAGAACTCCCAGTAGTTTGTTGGCCGTTCCTGCTTGAGCGCCACCTTCTTGCCAGAATTCAGATGCTTTCCTAAATAAACCGAGCCATAAGCCCCCTTTCCTATAATTTTCGACACCTCAAA